TACCGGATATGTCACCTTGTACCCTCNCCCCGCCCTCCGTCATTCTCCCAAGCGCGAGCTCGCATGAATGATTTTGCGCTTGCGATTCGCACGGATTCGGCGAGCATGTACGAGTATATTACAACAGGACAAACGTAAGCGTGCATGGAGAAAAAACTTCGGTTTGAATGGAAAACCGATGGCTCCGGCTGAGATTTCCGATGATCGAGACCGAACTTCGATTCAGTTATGAATACAAATTTCGGAATAGCTAAATAAAATTGGTAAACATAGCAAGCTCATAGAAAATCTTTACAAAAATATTCTGTCGACTGGAATGCGTACAAAAAAGTGGAATTAACTGGTTGCGTAAGCGCTACGAAACAAATTACGCAAAGTAGAGTCTCATTGATTGCCGCATCCTGAATTTTTTTACGGATAAAATCGAAATTCAGGTTTTTACTGGCTTCGCTTTCATTTCTTGTTATTTTGAAGAAGGGTGCAAAAAGTTCACTAGAAATTTTCGATGTAGAGACCGTATCTTTCAGCGACTATCATCTCCCAGATTTTCGGAGGTTATGGGGATGAAAATGTATGGAAATGCGGCAAAATTGGATCTGCCATTTTGAATTTTACACCTTGGACTCCAGATTCGTAATCAGCGATCAGAAAAAACCCAGAATAGTGAATTTCATTCAATTTGCATGAATATTTTTGGAGTTAAAAAAGGGATCGGTGAGAGGATGGGGAGGGGGTGGTTTCCACCCTTTAGGGGCGCGTATCCCAAAATCGGGAGGGTAGCATTTTTTACAGGGGCAAAACTTAACATGATGCAAAAGGTTTCAAGTAAATCCATCCATCTGGTAAAATTTTAAGGGTTTGAGCTCATCCTCGCATTCATTTACTCTACTATACCGCAAGAGGCTTCTCATCTATCTTTTCCTACTCCAAACCCAACCGTCTTCATTTACTTACATTTATTCGTTAAACTCTGAAGGAACTTGTCGCTGCCGCGACCCACAGATCAGCACCATTGTCGTCTTCTCGGAATGTATGATCAAACACCGTTAGATCCGTTACTGCAAGTCGCACATTTCACCCATTCAACTCCTCGCGAGAGATACGCTACCGTGATGAGGAAGAACGTCTTATAGACCTTCAAATGTTGCCAAATTTACTCCGATAAAACATTCATTTTCGTAGGATTTTATAAATACGATTCCTTAAAAATCTTAGATTCGGTAGAATGAACTGAGCGGAAAATACTATAAGGAAAACCTAAGAGAAAAGTTCAGGAGTCCTAGCGGAAATTCAGATATTGTGGGCAGAAATTCGGCAACGTCGGGCTGTTGGGAGGACGTTTTCCCCGAGCACGAAGAATCCTGGCGGAACGTCTCGGTCTCGGAGCCGGTCGGATCGGAGCAGTGGAAACTCGGACGTTAATCGGGCGGTGGCTGATGAGTGATGGAAGCCGGGACTCGCGAAGTCACACGCTCAAGTTCAAGTTACGTTCGAGCATAATAACGAGACGGGCGAGGGTGGGGACGGCGAGGGGGGAGGGGGCGCCGAGCTTGGAGCTTTGAGCTTTGGGCTTATCCGAGGCATCAGCGCCGAGCGAGCCGGAGTCGGAGCCGGCACCTGAAATCTCGTCTCATGCATCACGGATGCGCCAAGCGCGATCCGACGCGCTGCATCGCTCCGCCGATGCCAGCTTCCGCGCTTCCAGCTGGATATCAACTTTTCAACCGGGGGCGATATATTTCAGAGGCCCCGCACTCCTTCCTCCCCAACGGTGTAATAGTTCACTGGAAAAAAAAAAAACACATGGGATCTAGAGCCCAGCCTCTTGAAAACATTGACAAGAAAAAGAACTCTTGATTCAATCAGATTTAAGCTTAAATCAAAAGGAGATCTGCTCAAATTAAGAGGCTGGGTTCGTGATTTAAGCTTAAATCTGATTGAATCAAGAGTATTATTTCTTGTCGATGGTTTTAAGAGTCTGGACTCTAGATCCAATGTGTTTTTTTTCCAGTGTGTGATAATTCATAACCAAAGAGTAGATGGGCGGGTCAATGGAGATGTTGCATACCTATGTGAGCAATTCGCGATTTGAATGTTGATTCTAATGTAAAAGTTTGCAAGAAATACGATGGTGCCTCTGGTTTTCTCTAAAATTAACTCCCAGGCTCAAAAAAAGCTCTCAAGTTGAGGCCAAAATGGTGGGGATATCCCACGCTATCCTGAGCATCCACGTCCACATCAAGACAAACTCTCCATGCGAAGAAAGGGAGCAAATACATTGACAGGGCTGCCTCTTTATTTGGAGACTCAAAAAGACTCATGACAACACTGCTAATGTATTTGCTCCCTACCTTTGCATGGAGAGTTTGTCTTGATGTAGACGTGGACTGTCAGGATAGCGTGGGATATCCCCTCCATTTTGGCCTCAATTTGAGAGCTTTTTTTTTTTTAGCTTGGGTGTTGATTTCAGAAAAAAACCAGTGGTATCATCGTGTTTCTTGCGAACTTTTACAAAAGAATCAACAGTCAAATCGCAAATTCCTCACACATGCGACACCTCCATGGCGCTTATCCCAGAATTGTGTTTCGATGCTTGATTCCTGTAGACCGGCATAAAATAACACGATCCATCCGAACATCAACTCTTTACGTTCAATATTATAATATCCACCGCGGCAGTGAGACCCTTGGTCTCTTCCACCTCGTTTTCATTGGTGACGCATATTTGCACGGGTTACTCAACTAAACGTGAAACTCGGATGAATGATATTAGCGCCTGCAAGACAGTGAGAAGACTTCACGCATTGCGCCAAACAATGCGGGCGGCGTGGACCGCATATTAGCGCCTGCAAGACTGCGTGGATACTTCTCGCATTGCGCCAAATGTAGTGTAGTCAGTCAATTGGCGTGAAACGCATATTAACGCCTTGAGTTCAGTCGGTGTTACGCACATTTGCATACTCAACGTGAAACTTGGTTGAAAGCAAGGTGGAACAGCCCAAGGGTGTCATTACCGCGGTGGATGACGTCATGAACCGAATTTTTCAAAGCACGATAGCTCGCATGTAGATAGATGGTCGTGTAGAAGATGACCGAATGAGCGTTGCCGATAATGGTACAAGGTGGAGTTTTTTTCTGAGAGAGGACGCGGGGGTGCCCAATTATAGGGTAGAAAAATGGAATTAGTGCAGAAATGCTAAGACACAGTATGATCTAATCTGCTATAATACACCTATTTAACTCTATAGCATCACAGAGCGGTACATTTCCATTACTTTTTAAGTGTATTTTTCCTCGATTTCTCATACCAGTAAAAAATACTGCAGACTAATAAGTTCGTCGAGAATTATTACATGGCGATATGAAATCGTCTATGGCAAACTCTCCAAATACTAGACACAACCAAGTACATTTCTGGCATTGCTACACATGGAGATAAATACATTTCGGTACGTTCGTAGAGTCTCTGTAGAGATCTGGAAAGCTTGAATGATAAAGACGTACGATTCTCGAAAATTTCAAAGCTGATACCGTAGATGGACCGTAGACTTTGCGGCTATGACACAAAGAATCCCACCGCGGAAAGGCTACAGCCGTAGCCACGATCAGTAAACACCGCCAACACAGGTACTGGCGACACTACCCACTACGTATCGGCGATCATAAACTTGACGCTTATTCCTCGACGTCATGCGTGATGTTTAATCACACGTCTGGGTGAAACGCCTTCCAGCTTTGACACCGGTAACTCTCGGGTTCAAAACCCATTCACGCGGCAACGGGAACGGCATCACGGTGCCCGTAAGTAGTATGCTAATGAGGATGCACCTCTCACCCACCACCCGTCACCCGTCCATTCCGCCGAGTCCCGGTAATTTATGTTGTGTGCTTAATAATAACACTTGCACTGTGTTAACTCCTCCAGAAATTGGAGTGTTCACGACAATAACTTATTTTAAAGTTTAAGTAGTCACTTCCTTCGGACCATCCCTCTCCACCAGCCCCGGGCCTGTGCTCCTCGCTTCATTAAGCCGTGATTTTCTCACAGTTTCGAGTGGATGATGGTCGGCGGCAAATTTGTAAGAAACTCGATCGCTCAGTATCCCACTCCCCCATGACTACCTCGGTCATTCACTTTTTCTCTTCGTTTCAGGAGCGCTCATTGGTCAAACGCCGTGGGGAGCAACTCAGTAGAGCTACTAAGAATGAACAACACTAGGAAAAAAAACACATTGGATCTGGAGTCCAGACTCTTAAAAACATCGACAAGAAAAAGTACTCTTGATTCAATCAGAATCTAGCTTAAATTAAGAACCAAGCCTCTTAATTTAGTGGATTCCGTTTGGATTCAAGTAAAAATCCGATTGAATCAAGAGTATTTTTTCTTGACAATGTTTTCAAGAGTCTGGACTCTAGATCCAGTGTGTTTTTTTCCCAGTGAAGCGAAACAAATATTCAGTTAATAAGGGAAGATGAGCACAAAGTAACAAATCCTTCGTTTGATTATTTGTTTTTTTATTTTTTTCTGGCGCCGAAATTCTCAAAAAGTGGTAAAGAGGAAAGATATTTCGATTCCTCTTTGCGAGACACCACCAACGATGAGTTATGGGGTTACTTGATGAAGAAGGTTTGTCTTCACGAAGCGCGACATTGTTTAAAAATTAAATGCTTGTTCGGGATACAGTGACATGCATATTTTCTTAAAATCAGTTAAGATATCTAAATCAAAGGACGATTTTTGGTCTGGGACAAAAAAATCAAGTTTCCTGAAGGAGCTGAACAGATGACTTACTAAAAAGTAATACAAACAATTTCAAATATTATACTGCTCTACAAAGGTAAACTGATTCTCTTCAGATTTTGGGGAGTAAAAAAGGATTGTAGCTGTGCCTCTTTAAATTCATCGAAAGCAACGAGGATTACACGTACAATAATCCTCTTACTTCTCACACGACTGACTAACGGCCACAAACGAAGTTTCAAGGGTATGAGATTCTTACCTCATTTCTTGTGTCCAGTTCGACCAAACATTCATGCAGTCTCGTCTGTGAACAGAAAAAGAGAAAAAATTAGGCGAGGAAAGCATAAGATACAAAAGTAGCGAGCAAAAACTATGCAGTTCGAAAAAGACTTTGAATTAGTGACGAGTGCAGAAAGATAAATTATGGACGAACAGTACATTATGCTTACAATTTACAAGAGATCCTCTGAGATTGACAGTCATTTTATGGATGAGAATTTTCAGGTGTCTGAAATTTGATAAATTTCGTGTTTCAGTGGAGACCACGCGAAAACACATATGTTCAACTGAGAAATGCCGCTGCTAGATGACTAGGTGGTGCATTTTCTCACTTTTAGAACTGATTTTATACTACGTCTCGTATCAGAAAATTTTTTAGGGAAACTGCGAAATCAGCTTTCTGAGCACTTTCAGATGCAGCAATAATAAAAGTGTGTGCAAATTCTCCATTAGACTCATTCGTGCAAAAAGAAACGGTGTGCAACAGAAATAAATCAGAGTATAACTTATCGCACATGATACTTATTTGCTACATAGTTCCTTTGATTTAATTCATTTGAATACAGTTTCTTTTAGCCTAAGTGGGTCGTGTCCACTTTAGTTTAAGACGGACGGGGGAGCTCCTAACCTAAAGCTAAAAACCTAACTCGAGGTAGAACCATTTTAATTGATGTCTGGTCACTGGTCAGTCTTAGCGGTTTTTTCCTTGCGAGTAGAGATTGCAAATGAGTTGTTTTCAGATGCAATAGGTTAAATTTGACATGGTCATAAGCTCTCATTTCGAAACGACGATAGCCGAGTGTTGAAGGATGAGAGAAAAAACGGGAGTGCGTCGCGCGGGGCAAATGGTCCGTAAAGCTTCAGAAACCGATTTTTTTTTTCTGCGGGACATTACCCGTTTATCGAGCTGTGGAGACACTCCGAGTTGCCGGACTTCAGGGTTAACGGAGAAATTCGAATCCTGCTGAGGGCAAATCCTCATTCTCAAGAGAATCGCATTTATTTGTTCAAGGTTCCGAAAGAAAGATTTGTTTGCTTTATAAAGTGCAAAAGCAGAACAAAGACTTAGAAAAAAAACCCTATGCCCCTAATACCTGCTTCCAAATACAATAGTTGCGGTGAATTCGCAAGCAGAGGTAAAATGTACACTATAATCTGTAAGGAATTCTAGTGAACTCTTGAATACTCTTCATCGATCACTTGTTTCTCGGCTAATGTTTTAGGATTCCATGCAGTTTTTCTGATCAAAAACTTAAATCACGATGCAAGGCATCGTGGTCTTAACCAAATTTTGACGAAAGTTGAACTCCTCAAAAATTTGCCTCCATGCAATGGCTCGTCCTTTTTCTCCAGTTGAATTTCGGCTCGTGCTGAACGCCAAAAGTTTCAGTCAAAATAACCGAAGTTTCCATTCATCTGGGAACTTAACTTCGGTTCCTGTGATGGAATTTATCGTAAGATCCTTCAAAATTCTTATTCTTCCCAGAGAATTCGATTATCTGTTTGCACGACCTAAATCTTTGGGGTTCCATTCGATCCGAAGTTGGGTTCGCGCGATGAAAGTTTTTTCTCCTTGCGTTGGAACTTTCTTGTTGGGCTGGGAAACTTGACAACCCTGCGTGCTACCATGATCGTCCGGGGGAAAACTCTGGAGCAATTGATGCAAAACGAAAGAGACAAGGTTAGCGGCTGGCCTACTTCCCACCGGTAAACGCGGGAGGCCGCGCCATGCCGTCTCCTTCTCCTGTCCACCGGCGTGCGTTCAAAGAAAAGAAGAAAGGGAAAAAAATATCTCACTTTCACCTGGCTCCTTAGTCAATATCACGCCCGCCGCCTCCGCCTGTCATCAGTACTCCCGTGGTAAGGAAGAACGCCGTATGAACATTCGAGAGTTGCCAAATTTCCCCAGGTAAAACATGTATTTAGGTGGAAAGTTATTCACATTTTCCTTTGAGATTTTCAGATGTATGAGATGAAGTTGCGAACAAAATCGTCTAAAAATTTTAGAGACAAATATTCAAAATTTTCCTGGTAAAGTCGGTTTTTAGTGAGGGAAATCTGGCAACGTCTAAAGGCTCTTTCCTCAGCACGACAGAGTAGAGGGCAACTTTCCGCTATTACCATTTGGACTGAGTTAAGCAGAAAGGAACCAACCCACATTTTGGAAAAAATTGAGTTATGAGTGGTTTCAAACTCAACCACTGCTCTACTATCTATCGCCAAAAATTCAAAGTTTTTCTTGGAGCAACTTTTGCAGAAATTGAACTTGAAGTTTATCTTTTACATTGAGTCTTATGCAGGAGCCGAACTTTAAACCTCTTTTTCTCGGTTCGATCCCGATGTGGCTTGGTTCCTTTCTGTTTAACTCTGTCCATTTCATGTCTCAACAAATGACGATTCCAGCGTCTCACCTTGAGGGGTTTTTTTTGGGAAGGGGGGGGGGCACCCATCATTTTGAGGATATCCAGTTATTTTTGGGAGGATTCCTGACCACTCAACCTGCTAATATATGATCAAATGCACGGAAAGGCTCCTGTTCACGAAAAAAAAGGAGCACGGGGTTGTTGGATGAAATAAACATTGCCAATTAATTGTAGTAGTGCCCTAATTAAATAGGTTACTAACCCAAATGTTGCGGTACTACCTAAATTGATTCGAAATGTCCATGTCATCCAACAAATTGGGAGTGCCACAATTTTAGGGGATAATCCCTAACACTACTTTCCCTGTGTTCATATGTAACCTCCACGGATTGAGAACCTTAACGCACAAAGACTAAAGGCCGCTTTCACTATCGTTCCTGTATCAGCTCTTCCCCTCAGGCAGCCCCCATATAGTTCGCTTTGCAATGAAGGTATAGGTTTAAGCAGGCCTTTGACGTAGGGTCACAAAAAGGACGATTCATAGGAATTTTGAATCAAATTCGACTCTAAAGCTCTAGGAATAGATACTCGCTGGGGATTAAAATGATATGCCAATATGCACTACGAATGATAAACAAATGTGAGAGAGAATATTTACCGCGGTGAATGTCTGTAATTCCTTGCAAGGATCGGTTCCCGAAGTAATACAACTGAATTTTACTGGAACTTCGTAAAAATTGTCCATTTTATAACGCAATGTCAAGGGCCAGCTTTAACTTCCCTTGGTTCCTATTACCTACAGTGTTAATCTATATGGGGCTTCCCTGAAAAGAAGGCGACTATGATGCACATGGCGATATCACTTGCTCACCATCCTTAATATCGCTTAATAACAAAATCAGCGGATGAAATTTCCAAGGATAAAAGATTTTTCAGTATCCATCTTCTTCGCCTCATAAAACACCAAAATCAAAGATTTTCCATTAAGAGGGTGGAGAAGAGGGGGTGATAGGGAAAAAATGCGCTTGGAGGTGCGGCGGGGAGTTCAAAATAAGTGGCTGTCGTTGGCCAAGATAATGAACGAAATGAGTCTCCGTTCGGATCAGAGACTGAACGAAGCATCATAATAACTCCTAATAATGCTCTTGATTTATTGGTGGCAAGTAGTTTATGAAGCGAATATAGGACTTGGATTTTTGATTCCAACGAATGGGTTACTGAAACAGTTGCCCGAGCACCGGTTTCGAATGATGAATCGCCGGAGTCACCCAGAACGTGATACCTAAATCAAAAATCCAACTGCACGTAAAAATCTCATTGTTGAAAGCGCCGTTAGCGCGGTCGGTCGGTGCAATAATTCACGCTCATTAGCGGGAAAACGGCGGGAGAGAGAACGGGCGAAGGCGTCCTTCGGAATATGCGCCGGGTTAATTAACATATTTAAAGAAAAAACTAGAGAAACCCTTGGACACTCATCAAAATCCCATTTGTTCGCGACGAAGGAAAGCTGATTTTTACGCCTGAGAAACTAATCTTGAGCTTGAGACGTGCGAAGCCATGCCATGAGCGCGTAGTTAAAACTGCAGGCACTGATTGCATTTGATCTGGAACGGCTCTCCGAGGTGCGCGATGACGTAAGATAACCTCCTCGCTCAATGGCGACGCATTTCCCTAACAACTTATGTTCCTCCAGGAGAGAATATATTTCAGAGACACTCCGATAACAATCTAAGCAATGTGATCGGATAAGGCGAAAGTTAAGCACTGAGTTCAACACTGTGTTTTGCTTACTGATGATTGATACGCAACTTGTTGCATAAAATTCGCAAACGATGACTGATGAATGTCGGAATTTGTACTTCGCAAAAGTAATGAGCTTTTGTTTAGTAACTTATACTTTTTGCGTTTTGGAAAATGATAGAGTGCACGTGGATCAGAGGAATTTTCAGAGATTTTTGAAAAAAATTTACCCACGAAAAATGAAGTCAAAGATGCGTATTTTATCGAGCTCTCATTTTAAGTGTACCGCTACGAGAGCCAAGATGACGTCTAAAAAGAACCTTTTTGCAGTGGCCACAATCCTGATTGCACGTTGCTTCTGCCGCGATCCATGGCCCTGTCCGGGAAGCCGTTTTCAATACACGATTGCATAGACCATTAATTGCAGCGGAGGCAACACACGATCGAGATTATGGCCGCAGTGGAAGGGATATTTTTGGATGACACCTTGATTTTCTCGGCGATGCACGCATAAGCAGGAGTTCAAAGTGCGCAACTTTGAACAAATTTTACGTGAGTAAATATTATTTTAAAAGAAAATTATAGAAAATTCCTGTCTACTAACATATGATGAATCATTGCTGAGGAGGAGAGCCTTCGCGCTCTACGTGATATACCACCGCATATTATCGGTTTGCGGCGCCTTCAATAAGTGTGGTACTCTATGCATTACCGGAACGTTAGTTTAGTTGCTGGAAATGATCTGGATGCTGGAAAAGGTGATCAGCTGTGCTTAAGTTTTACGACTTTCGTACGAAATAAACATACTTTAACAAAGGACATCTTTAAAATTTTCAGACAGTGAAACAGTTCATTTTTGTCATTATTTACAAATTATTAACCGACCTAAGAGAATCTTACATCTGAATAGGTAAAAATTGTT